TGTAGTGTTTCCCAATGCCTCAAAGTTGGCAAAGTTGGTATTTGAATTACCCTGAGGTGCTGCAGCCACACACAAGGGAAAATTAACACAGACAAACAATGGCTGGGCAATGCATGGGGTGATGACAAACAAAAAAGAACATAGTACTAAGTGTCAGTATTAATCTGTTTTAGTCTGAGTGAAATATTGGACCTTTTGGGACCATTAAGAGAAAGACAATTTACCCGATTGGCTTGGAAAATGTGCAAAGTTGGCAAAGTTGGTAGAGCTGGCAGTTTGAGTGGGTGGTGCAGCAAAGATGTCTCCTCCCAGGTCTGAGAGCAAGTCAAACTTCTTCTCCTGAGCAGCGCTGTGAGCCTGGGAACGCCCTAACCCTGGAGACTGGGTCGTGGGTGGAGAAAATATAAGGTTTTTTTTTCCCCCTTAACAAAAGCTGATATTTAATGGGTAAAGTAAGGCTCAGTGTGTATTTCTATTACTTGGCGCTAGGCCTGCCCCCTAATAGTTGAGTCATTCTTCGAGAGACTCGTCAGTCGACTGAGACTCTTATAGTCGAGCCTTTGTTTTTATTATATTCTAATTTTTTTTTTTTCAGCCAGTGTGCATTATAATAGAAGATAGCCCCAACCACTTGTAGTTTCTCATCTTCTTCTCCTCATTTTGGCGTGCCAAGCAGCAATTTACTCAATGTTTCCCTTTGTGGTCGGGGTAAATACCCACTTACGAAGCAACGAAGTACATTAAGGTCAGATGACACTATTTAGCAAATTGCCAAATGCAACAAGTAAACCTAAGCCTTGTCCTACCTATATGACAAGTAGATATTGAGATTTTACTCAGAATAATTGATGAATTACAAATTCCGCTTATATCTTGCCACTTATTAATAGTTGAAGACTGACATACAAATGTAACAGTAAGTTTGAAACACAGGAACTATGTAAGATTAAATAAAAGGTGTAACTCAGTGTCTTGTCTGACTCTACAGTTACTTAGTGTACATTTCCACTCCACAATACTATGTTCTCTAAGAATTGGTTAGCCACAGGCTCACCAGAAGAGAGAGCCATCTTCTGGTTCAGAGTTAGGTTCAGGGTCGGCATCACAGCAAAAACTGGTCTTCAAGTCGGCACCAGCATTAGTGCCGAGGCTAAGACTGGGTATAATTCCAGGATGAGAGTCCTCATCAAAACCAGAGGTCTGGTTTGTCTCTGAGCTTACATCAGGAGATTCCTCTGTTTTTGTGTCTCTGTTTTTTAACCCCTCAAAATACAACAATAACAAGAACCGTAAAACACAATGACTCAGGATTATACCACAACATTACGCTAACTATTTACACATTCGCATAATGCTTGCCGCTGTCACTAACCCTCCCGCTGGCTGGCATAGTCATCACAGTATTTACGCCACTGCTGACTTTCCCTCGCATTATGAACCCAGGTCTAATACCACCCAGCTGTTGATAGCTGAGTGAAATGGACAGCCCCCCAATCCCCAAACCAACTTCCAGTCACACTTTAGTCAGACTGCAGACATGTGAGAGTTGAGCTGAAGAGGAGACAAGAGAAACCAAATCAGCTGCAGGCAGGCGCTCACAATGGCCCAGCAGGTAGGGGATGCTGATTGCGGATTGTGTGTATGATGTGTGCGACCCTTTCCCCCAATTGTTTTCTTTTTTTCCAGCCAAGCAGTGAAGAAGGGACCACGCTAATTACGCACGAAAAACCTGCTGGAAATCCAAGAAGTTCAACCATATCTGCGTGTTTTAATTTTATCAATTCCATCATAGGATCTGGAATAATAGGTAAATATTAATTTCATATTTCAGGTAGCCCACGCTACAGTATGTTAACTAACAAAATAATCAATTTATAGGCAAACGACTATTTGAAAGATAAAACACATTTACTTCTTTGGAATCAGATTCTGAAACGATCTATGAAATAATCAGTTGTTGCAAACTTTTCATGGAGAAGCCTTCTTATCACTGAAGCCCTGCGGTAAACCTTCCGTATCATATGACTAGCGCCTGTTTCCAGCCCCCCTTTCTCCCCTTTCACTCATTCATCCTCAAACATTCCCTAAGTCATTACGCATTCCTCATCAAACATTTCTCCAACAGCAACACCTGATTGCTTTAAAACGCAGTAACTGCCTGTACCTGTCGCACGTTTTGTGCTTTGCATGACAATAAAGATTATTTCTTACAAATAGCAGCTTTTAGTGCAAAAATAGTACAGTAAAAACTATAATTAATTTGTAAATTAATTTCAAACTGCCTATATATACCCGCTCAGGCTTCTTTTGATCTGTGCAGTCATCATGTACATGCCTTATTGGTTGTAGATATTACTTACAACTGATTTTTACAATTTACCTCAATATTGCACAAAAACTTCTTGGCCAGCCGATTTGTCTCAGTAGTCCGTAAACATGTCTGTGGTTCTTATTACCATTGCTAACTCTGAGAGACGAGACAGTCCAAGTATCTTCAAAACAGTGCTGATTTATTCAAAGGATCACAGGTAAAATTTACATTACACGCTCAGGTATCTTGCACCTCCAAACTGCAGCAGGCAGATGTAAGATGAAAGACCCTGAACCCACCAGGCCTATACATTATATCCCCTCGGTTGGGCTAGCCCCATACTACACAGAAACGTCAACCGAGACGTCTCTCTTACCAGCTTTGCAGCTGGCCATAGCAGTAGTCAAAGCATGAAGAAAATCAATGTGCATGTGTGTGTCTGTTGGTTAAGTGGTGTGTAGCTAAAAACATTCTCACGACCTCTAGTAACATGTCGTGACTTAAACATAAGAACATATTATGGCTAAGGCTACAGTTATACACATAATAATAATAATAATATTAAACACCCTGTCTGCTGACAGTCATCAACTCTTCTCTCTAGTTATCCTTGACCAGATGTACCCTGTAGAAACTCATAAGCATGACTAAGCATGTAACAGTCTAACTAGACATCCTATCTCCACTAAACATTTCTAATACATAAAGTATCTATCCAATTTCTATCTGACTAAAAATACCTAACACATGTCACTAAGGAAGATTAATAAGCCCGGTTATTTTTATTAGAAAGTCCTATTGGAAGGATTTTAATACCCTAAATGTGACTTTGACTTTTTTCTGTCTGTTAGAGATGTCAGTGCAAGCACAAACATAATAAGATTGGTATGCTTTTACTTTATATGTAATGTTAAATTTATATTGGTAACCAGCGACTAAACATACAAGTGACCATCTTGTCTTTCACATGAAACCGTGTTCATTCTGTGCTAATTATCTGCTCCTTAACTGTTGTTTCCTCCAGTTTCATTTACAGTTCTCAGTTGCAGCTTTATTTTTTTAAACCAGGTTTACCATATGCGCTGAACCAGGCAGGGCTCCCCTTTGGCCTCCTGCTTTTGATAGTTGTTGCCTTCATCACAGGTGGGTGTATTGAAGGTGTTATTATTAAAATGGAGATGTGAATTTACAAAATGAAGAAAACAATAACAATATATTTGCACTTTATGGCAGACTACTCCATCATCTTATTAATTAGAGGAGGCAACTTGTCAGGGACAAGCAGTTATCAGTCACTGGTACAAAACACATTTGGTTTCCCTGGATTTCTCATCTTATCTGCACTGCAATTCCTTTATCCTTTCATTGGTAAGTTATTTAAATTGTGCAGGTAATTCCATCTAAAACTGAACATTATGTCACATCATGTATTGTGATCTGACAAAAATTGCATTCTATTTATTTTATTATTACTATTTTAATCAGTTTTTTGCTATTTCTGTTCAATGCCTTTTGACTGATGGTTCAGTCCAAATGATGCTGCTGATTAATTTGAATCAAAGAATGATGATTCCGGTCTGTTTTCTTTGTCAGCTATGATTAGCTACAACATCACAATTGGTGACACGCTGACCAAAGTATTTCAGAGAATACCAGGAGGTAAGCTGCATGTAGTTTATTTCACCTCTGACAGAAGCCAGTACCTCAATTAAAATATGTACTGTATATATATGGACAATATTGCTTCAAATGATTAGTGCATGTGCTATTATTTGCAGTTGGCCCCGATCACATTCTTGCAGAGCGTCACTTTGTAATTGTGCTCTCAACCCTTGCATTCACACTACCTCTCTCACTGTATCGAAAGATAAAGAAACTTGGGAGGGTAAGGCCAATCATTTTACAGTTGTCAGTGGCATGTGGTGGTTTCAAAGCTATCTGTAAAACATTGTGTGTGTTACCAGGTGTCCCTCCTGTCGATGGTGCTGACACTTACCACTGTCACCATCGCAGTTATCAGAGCAGCTACTCTTGGACCCCAAATGTACTGTATGAATGATTTTAATTTAAATGTTCCACACTCTGCTCTTTTTTTAATGTACACCTACAGAAATGCTATTATGCAGAAATAATCATGTTTTTGTTTTTCTGTTCCTTTTATGACTGAATATGGATATCACTCTCTAGCCCCCCTACAGAGAATGCATGGACATTTGCAAAGTGGAATGCAATTCAGGCTGTTGGTGTAATGTCTTTTGGTGAGTTTGTCTGAATGACGCTGATGGTGGAGATGCCTACAATAGCAGAGAGAATCTGCTGGCATGTGCCAAGATGACAACTGTATAAATCAAAACAAATTATCCACAAAATCCAGAACACAAGATAGGTTAGAGGTCAAACGCATCAACATATATCTCTTTTTGGTCATTTCTCATTTTGCTTTTCTTTTTAGTCGCTTTTTGTTAATTTTATGGTTATTTTGGTTTTACTTGCATTTTGTCTGGAGGTTGTTTTGCATGTCCTTGTAGTCATTTTGTGTCCTGCCATACTTGTTTTGCATCACTTTAAGTTGTACTGTCTCACTGTGCTCATTTTATATAATTTTGCATTTATTTTGACACCATATGTCTCTTTGCAGTATCTTATGTCTTCTTGTTCTTGTTTTGCAGCTCTTAGTACTTGTTTTGCATGCCGTTGCAGTCATTTGTGCCTCTTTTTTGTTTTTTAATTTCCTTTTAGGTGTTTAGATTTTTTAAAAGTTGTTTTGCATCTGTTTTTACTCACCTTGCGTCTCTTGGTAAGCATTTGATTGACTTTCCTATAAGAAATGTTAACAGTCGCTACATACAGATGCTGTGGTCCAGGAGCTTGTGCCTGGTAGGCATGTTCAATAATCCATCCATATGTGTATTAGACAATTATTTATTGGTATGCTATCCATAAAAACTTTAAATGAGACAACATAAGGGCTCTGTACCTGTCAGATTATTTTGTAGTTTTTCTGCCTCCTAGTAGCCAAAACAAAATCAATTAATGCAGCTTTATTGATCCTAAGACCATGGCTTTAGTACAGTGTTGCCTATAGTGCATAGACATATAATCCAGCTTGAACATAATAAGACTGAGGCTCTTAAATTAGTTAGCACACAGTGCAAATAATCCTCTGCCTTTGGTAAATCACACCGCAGCATTTCAAAAAATGTGCATTGTCATCATCTTAGTCGCTGCACCCAGAGAATGGAGAGCAGAGTCTTTGCTAGTCTGCCAGCGCCTTGTATAAACTGTACAAATGAACCAAGTGCCTTATGGTAATAGCTACTACTGCTAGGAGGCCATTTAGGTGGAGTTGTGCATGCTCCCAGGAAACACGGTGATGTTTTGCCAGAGGTTAGATGGTGATAGCTGGCAGCCTTTTTTCTGTACTGTATGATGGTAAAACTCTTATGTTCTGCCCTCGTGTGCCTCTTTAGCCTTTATATGCCACCACAACAGCTTTCTTATTTATGGTTCCCTGGAGCAGCCCTCACTAGCTCACTGGTCTCGAGTCACCCATGTCTCAGTCGGCTCTGCACTAATAATCAGTGCTGCATTTGCTGTTGCTGGATACACGACGTTCACTGGCTACACACAAGGTAACAAACCAGTATGACAGATGCTGAGCTACATGCATGTTCTTTCTTTTTCACATTAGACGTGTATTTTGATCTCAAATTTCCACATTTCAGGAGACATATTCGAGAACTACTGCAGAAATGATAACCTGGCAACATTTGGTCGCTTCTGTTTTGGCCTGAGCATAATAACCACATTTCCACTGGAGTTTTTTGTTACACGAGAGTTAAGTAGCACACTTTCACATGCCAACTTAGGAATTTAAACATTTATATATGTGTGGAAAGGTTGTATTTTGGGGGTTTGAGTTCCTGATGTATGACAAAAGGTGAAAAAGAAAACTTGGCTCTTTACACTTAGCTGTTCCTGCTCACTGGATAGCAACACAACAGTGCCAGTTGTTGTGGCTGCTTACTAAGTCCTCCTCTCTCACAACTTAATATGATTTTATTAGAATTGTTTTTCCAGTTGCAGAATATGTTTACATTTAAATACTGTACATGCACATAAGGAGAAATGAATTTTCATATTTTTGTTTATCTTCTTAGGTGGTAGCCAATGCCATTTACAGCCGAGATCTTTCAAAAGCTGAACACGTGGTTGTAACCTTGCTCATAATCGTAGTCTGCACATCAGTATCTTTGGTTTATGACTGCCTGGGAGTTGTTCTGGAGCTGAATGTAAGCCATCTACTCAGTCACTCTGTGCATGTACCTATCTACAGTACACGTTGCAGTTCCAGTATGTTAATTCAGTGTTTGTTTGACCTTACTGGTGTTTTCGACTGCTGTTCAGGGCATTCTGAGTGCCACGCCTCTGATCTTCATCATTCCATCAGTGTGCTTCCTCAAACTTTCCACTGGCCACTTGTTCCAGGGTGAAAACGTCATACCCATCATCTTAGTAATAACTGGCTTGTTCGTCATGATCACCGGTTTAACCATGACTGTCCTCTACCCGGAAGACTGTTCACATGGCGTGGAGATGTTCTACTGTGCAAATGCCAATGTCTCTGGTACAGTGCCACCTGCATGAAAAGAACATCTGCAAAATAGTCATTTAGAACACTCCTTATACTATACAGTACAAAATGTGGCCAAATGTGAAGAACCTGAATGCCCTGCACAGAGGCCTGGCCCCCCTCACAAACCTTTGACATGAACTTCAATGTCAGTCGTCAGCCAAGTCTTACTGGTCAACGTCAGTGTAGGACTTCATTAATACTCTTGTGGCTAAAGTGTCAGCCAAGTCTTACTGGTCAGCGTCAGTGTCCGACTTCATTAATACTCTTGTGGCTAAAGTCAAATTCCAAAATCTGGTGGGGTTACAGCAGCACCATAATGCCTATGGTTTTGGAATTAGATCATCAGTGATCACACATGGTTGTAATATCCAGGTATCCACATGCCTTTGACCATATATTGCATGTGTAAATGTTTACTTTATAGTTTTTCACTGTGGAATGAATAACCTGTGTTGAAACGTATGTGAAACAGAAGTGGGATTGGTCGTTTCCTTGTCCAGCCACACGATGTCACTGTAGACAAATAATAAAAAGAAGTTCAAAACTACAGCGTTGATGATTTTTGATACAGATTGTTTCGCACTAAATTAGTGGACTTAGCTGTTGCCAACCGCCATTAAACAGTAGCAGAAGAATCAGAAATTAGTGGACTTACTTGTGTTGTTGTTTACAGCATGGTTGTGTGGGATTGTTGGTTCTTCTTGCTCAGATGTAAACTCATGCCCGTTGCGCAAAATGTTCCATCAACTTCCTGGAGGGAAGGTGAATTGGATTTAAGAGCCGCCCCACTTTGTCAGCTCATGTAGCACTGGATGTGTAGAAAAAGTCGGCAGAGTTGTGTATGGTGTCGGCAAGGAAATTGCTCTGATACGTACGAAAGCATAGTTTAAAGAGAAGAGAGAAAACAACAAAAACACGGGAATGATTTGCGTAAAAAGGCGCAAAGCCCAGAACTAAAGCGGAATTATGGATCAAGCAAAACCTGTGCGTGGCAGTCTACAACTAACGTTACCTTTTTGAAGACGAATGGAAGTTAGATGACTTCGAAAATCCGCTGCATTCATGGTAAGACATGAACAGTAAATGCTTTTAATCGTAAGCCACATTTAAGAAGGAAAACAGTTTATATGACTGAAAATTTGATGACATCATGTGGGATTCGCCCCTATTTCAGTATTTCTCCGTTGGCATCACTTGTAAGCAGTAGATTATACTTTGCATCTAAGTCGTACTAAAATATTTTGTGCTTTTTGTTTGTTTTTGACCAGCACGAGGGATTTTTTTTAAACTTACGAGTTTAGTCATGGATGATCATGAATCCCAGCCCCATCCACGGAGCTCTGGTCTGAGGTATGTAGCTGCTGTCACTGGGATTATAGTTTGTCCTTTCTGTGTATTTTATTTGTCAGTAAAACCTAATGTTGTCTTCTAATGCGTGTCGTACACCGTTTCCCAGAAAAGAAGATTGACATTATTGTTTATGGGGAAAAATACTAAAACGGTTATAGGATGTAAAAAATAAAGACAAAGGACTTAGCTTTTTCATTGTGCAAAGATGTAATGCCAAGCTCTTCCACTATATGACTGGCAAATTGTGTTGTGATAACTTGCATGAGGCAGCAACAGCAGTTTTCTCACTGAGCTGTTTAAGGTATGAGCACCACTGTAAAATCTGCTTTACCAGCTTTCAGCTAACATTCCCTTTGTTCTGTACATCACAGTCACAGTTTCTGCAGACGTTTCAACCTTTGAACTCTCCTCATTTCCTGCTCTGGGTTATACTGAGAAATTGCCTTGACCATATGTAGAGGTCATGGGAAGCATTTTACAGGAACAACATTCTGCCTCCTCTGTCTCTGTGATGAGCCTTATGACCATTTTTCTTGTGGAGATCACACACCCCACTGGGCTTGAAACTGATATTCTATAAAATACTGATTCGTCATGTCTGACAGTCAAGTCAAGAGTAAAACTGTCCTGTGAGTATATGACATGATGGAATTTCCCATCAGTTTTGGTTCAGGGACTTTGAGATGATGTCAGCTGCTTATATTATTACAGTGGTTGGAATCATTGGAGTCACTACTCACTCCCTTGGCATTCAGGGGAGATCTGCTGAGTTTTAGAGATTCAACTTAGAGGTGAGTTGGACAGTTTGAATATAATGATAGTTTTCAATCCGGTGTTCCATGATAGCTGAGCAAAGTTTCCGGTCCTGCCCTCTAATTTCCCACTTGTATTAACAACATTCAGACACATCGTATTTAGTTTACTACAAAATAACCCTCTTGGTGTGACTTGTCTTCATATTTTAGTAGTATTATTTACTCTGGGAGCACAGCCACACTCCTTGGAAATAGGGTGCAGCATGCTACCTAAATCTCTGTGGCCTGACTATTATTTGGAAAAGTAAACCACACTGTTCCACAAGCTGATGGAGTGTGAGAGAAAGCACATGCTCCTTCTGCTATTTGTGGGTTTATATATTTGTAGCCACTAGACCTGCTGCTTCTCACTTTTTCAAATGCAATCGTGTGTGAAAACTCCCGCCCAAAAAGCTACAATACATTTGTTATCCAAATACTGTCTGTGCCAGAAGGTAAGATAATCACTTTTATTTAGCCAAGTATGTTACACACATAAGGAATTTGTTTCCGGTACAGAACCGATGGCAGCCATCTGCGGCGCCAACTCAACCGATGGCTCTAACCATCGTGGGGCAACGGGGGGTTCAGTGTCTTGCCCAAGGACACTTCGACACGTGGACTGCAGGCACCGAGATTCAGACCTACGACCTCCTGGTTGGGAGACGACTGCTCTGCCCACTGTCGTCTCCAGAATCACTGGGCTGGCTGTTTCCCAAGCACTGAGCACTAGCACACACTTACTGTAGTATATAATAGTTTTGACAGCATTATTGGAACATGGTTTCTTTCTTGTTTTATTTTTGATGGCAGGATAATACGATATCCTTTGACGCAATCTTCATAGTCATCAGCCCTTTAGATGCTTGACTATCCAGCAAGCTAGTGTTGATTTTATTTTTTCTTAATAATTGTATGTGTTCTAGAACCATAATCATTCATGCCTATCTACTCTAACAGTGCACTGCTCAGAGCCCTGCTAATTGAACACACTTTTAAACCATGATCTCACATGGCTGGCTTTCTTCAGGGCAGAATGTGGAATTAGTTAAAGCATTGTGAATCCCCACAGCTGTTTCATTTAGACATGCAGGCAGTCCAAGGGCACAGCTGCTCACAGGAGTCTACAGAAGAAAATCATGGCAAGACTGACTGGTCAAAGTGGGATACTTTAAAAATGTGGGCGTGTGGAGTCGAAGCACAGTGATCAAAGTAAAGATAGACAAATCACAGGGCCTCAAGTAGACTGAGGCATATTTCTCCTTGAAAATGTGCTCAGGGACACAAAGGTTGTCTTAATTCAGGGAAATATAATTTGGTCTACAGCATGGCCACTGGTCAAAAGCAAGATAAAGTATGTCATTCAAAGATATCCAGATAAAGCAAGTGGAAAATCAGTATTGAGGTCCTGCTAGCTTGCCCTGGCAATGAGCTGCTGTCTTACTGAATATGTTATATGTCATGCTTTCTGCCTCACAGGGCTGAAACAGTCAAAATGGCCAACATCTTGGCAAAAGAGAAGAATGGGTTGTCTTTGTTTTCACACCGAAGCCAACGCACTGACTATAAATACCGTAAATACTTCTCACTGGACACTTAACGGATATTATGAAACAGTTTGTTGGTTATTATGACAGTGTTTTTCTTTTTATCTCTAAAGTAAACATTATGGTTATGTACAGTATTTATATAATAGTGATATTGTGTACAGCAGCCTGTTTAAACAGATCTGCTGCACAGATCCTGCCTGTACGCTGGCCTGTCTCATCCCTCCTTTGTTTCTGTTATGTGCTCTTCCAGGGCATAACAGTTGGATGCCTCCTACTCTTGGCCTGGGTAACATTCAGAATGAACATGAATTAGTCCTTTGTGCGCTCTCAATAGAAACTTTTACTTATCTCCAATAACACTCAGACATTTTATTTGACAAAGGAGCAAATTGCCTTGATTTGCTTGACCTTCATTATCAGTGTTTGTCATGTTTTATATGAGACATCTAGAAAACGTTCTGAGTTTACTTTAACGAGACCTTGACAGACTGTCTGTCTGTTATCCAATCACTGACAAGCTATCAAGTGCTAGGTATAAAATGAGAAATTGCACACCTTGAATTGGTTCTCTAGGTGGCGCTATCTCAGTGCATATGTCTCTTCTGTGGTGCAAAAGCCTCTTTGGACTGTGAAAATGAAAGATTAGGACAGATGTGTTCTTGCCTTGAGATTATATATGAGAAACGGGTATAAAACCCTTGTAACATGAAGGTGAAATGTTTTCTGTTTGAGTTCAGATTTGGAGGTTTGGGCAGTACTGCTTATTCTGTTCACACTGTTAGCAATAAAACAGATAAATGTGCCTGTTTTGCAAATTCACTGTCTTTAGAAACTCCAGTTTATGTGATCGCCAAAAGAGGGAAGGCATGCTGGTTTAGCCTTTGAAAAGATGTCCCAATGTAGACAATGCTGCATTGTTTCAGATGAAAGGACACAGTGTGATAGTATTAACTGTGACTCAACGTGGAGCTTTGTCTCTCACCAGATTAGTTAATGTAAATGTTGGTCTCGCTTTTAAAAAAAGCACACTTTCAGTCAAGTTACCAGAAGATATGTAGATGGTATGTTTTTCCAACTATGTAGGACTATTATAGAGTATGTATCTGGAAAAGAATAGCTGCAAACCCTAACAACTTGTTCCAAGTTCACCATCTTGACAGGTTTATTACATTTGAGAAGTTTTATTTGTGCATAAACAGACTGAAATACTGGTCTTTCCTGTATGTGTCCCACACGTTCTTGTTTTTCCCTTGCAGAGACAAAACCTGGTTATGTTTATTTTGGTACAGTGTTTTTGTAAAAATATTTGAGCTTCTTTGAGATAAGGTGAGGATAATGTAGCATAGCAATGCTCACTTCACAGAGTAGAATGACACGGAACATTGGACAGGGAACTGAAAGATCTCCTCATATAATCTTTAATCTCATTGCCTAACTTGCTGACTGACTTGCTAACTTACTCTGGCTCTGCTGCACTGTTAGGAATCGTACAACATAGGATACAAGCATGAGCACCACCGGGAGTAATAAAACAGTGAAAATGAGGCAGGTCGTGACCAATGAATATTACTTAATACACACACAAGGTTGCTCCTTAAATGTTTATTAGAATTCTACATAATGGTGCTAAGGATGTCCTGAGAGTTTGACTTGAACCAGGCCTGTCCTGGAAAACACTGTGGGAATTTTTTTTTTTTTTTTTTTTTTTAAGAAAATTGACCAAAAGCAGTAGCCTCAATTTAAAAGACTAACGTTGTATCAAATCTCTCCATCCTAGGCTGCTTGTGTAGTAATGGCCTTTCCAGACCCCCTTTTAAAAGCTTGTGTTTACTGTGAGTAACCTCTCACCAAATTACCAGCTGTGGCTCTGATTCTGTGTTTTGTCTTTCCTCCTTTCCTCAGGGATGACCCCCCCCATTCCTCTCCAGCTCCTTACAGTAACTCCACCCCTCCTCCACACTTAACCTCCTTATCGTCTAATGGTAGCCAGTGGTGGTGTTTGGACAGTGGGGCACATTTGTAAGAGAACATGTAGGGCTGCTGATAAAGGACTGGTGTTGAGCACTTATTTCATACTGGGATATCAAATGTTTGTTCAACAAAAATTTGATAAATTCTAATCCTTTTTAATAAAGGAAAATTGTAGTCTTCTAATTTTGCTAGAAGCCAAGATTATACCTTCCTGCTTTTGGAAAAAAAAAATGCTGCAAACTTTTTGTGTGATTAGAGAAAACAGGGAAAAATCTGTTCATTAAATATTCAAAGTATGTTATCTGTATCTAAACAAACAGAAGAATAAGTCTGAACATGTCATTCCTCAGCTTAACAGGAAGCGATACAATTCCCCACTTTAGACTGACTAATCTTTATTCTGTAAAGTGTTGATTAAGTTAACAATGAGGACATTCTCGGGCTGGATTTGTTAACAATAAGGTGCTGACCGCCTGTTTTGACAGCCTTTGACAATGCTACCCAGCTGCTAGAATATGTGGTTTTCTATTCATGTATTTTGAAGATAAATGTTCTTATCAGAAGTGTATTTATGATAATTATCATTTACCTTGGGAGTGTTTGGGCTGCATTTTCGAGAAAGTGAGGAAACATAATGAAATGATCAGAATCCAAATATGAGCTCACTAGTGTTCACATCCGTGGA